GGCTGTTGTTCGCCAGACAAAGTTATCAGCCGTTAAAATGTGAGTTACAGTTGCACCTAGCTAAGCAAGCTAGCTAGCTCCGCACACAGCCGTGTACACACAGTACTCAATTGCTTTTAAAGGTTTCTTTTCATCAGTTATTTAAGCACAGCTACAAAACTGGCTGTTATTATTGTTATTATGTTGACAAAACGTTGTATCTTGATTTAGCTCATTATGTGAGATTTATGTGATCTAAAAGATCTTGCACTTATTTGTCTCTGCATGGACATAGTGTGTTTATTTCCTTTTTGCTCTTTTTCTCTCTCAGGGCACCATGTGTTGGTTGTTCATTAATTCATCCGCTCCTTCAGCGCCCCTCCCTGCAGTCCTTCTTTTTCCCTCTGGAAAATGCCCCCCACTCTCGCTCATGTTTCTCCCTTCTCTCATTCCCACCTCCTTTCATCTCTCACAACTCCTTCACCTCCCCTTAACCCACTGTCATCCATTTCTTCTGGCATCCATGTCTCTGAACTGAACTGTTCTGCGGACTAAATTTCAGGTTTGAGTATGTATGCGTGAGTATTTGAGATATACCGGGCAACACTTTTTGAAAAAGCTTTTTAACTAATTAATGACACTATATATTTTACTTTACCCTCTCGATCACAACCCTCACACCTTCAGACTGTGTGTGCATGTGAAGGGTAGTGGTGGTTAAAAAATAAACAATAATCAAGAGATTATTCTCCTTTCGCCATTTAACAATGCAAGAAGAAGAAAGACCCTTGTCCATCGTTTTTATAAGTGGTTCCCATCCCACTGTTTTCATGAACATGTGTGGTCAGCATTATTATACTGGCCAGTTTATTAGGAACACCAAGCTAATGCAAATGGTCTCTAACAGCCCTGCAATTGGAGGAAAGGGTAGTATTGGGACAAAGCCTTCCTTTTTTTGTGTTTATCCATCCATTCCTCCATCCACCTGGCCAATTCCCAGAGAAAAGCAGCAACAGGGTCCACCTCTTTTCAGCATCATTCACATCTCTTGTCAAACATACAGGTGCTGGTCATATAATTAGAATATCATCAAAAAGTTGATTTATTTCAGTAATTCCATTCAAAAAGTGAAACTTGTATAATGCATACATTCATTCCACACAGACTGATATATTTAAAGTGTTCATTCCTTTTAATTTTGATGATTATAACTGACAACTAATCCAAACCCCAAAATCAGTATCTCTGAAAATTAGAATATTGTGAAAAGGTTCAATATTGAAGACACCTGGTGCCACACTCTAATCAGCTAATTAACTCAAAACACCTGCAAAGGCCTTTAAATGGTCTCTCAGTCTAGTTCTGTAGGCTACACAATCATGGGGAAGACTGCTGACTTGACAGCTGTCCAAAAGACGACCACTGACACCTTGCACAAGGAGGGCAAGACACAAAAGGTCATTGCTAAAGAGGCTGGCTGTTCACAGAGCTCTGTGTCCAAGCACATTAATAGAGAGGCGAAGGGCAGGAAATGATGTGGTCGAAAAAAAGTGTACAAGCAATAGGGATAACCGCACCCTGGAGAGGATTGTGAAACAAAACCCATTCAAAATGTGGGGAGATTCACAAAGAGTGGACTTCAGCTGGAGTCAGTGCTTCAAGAACCACCACGCACAGACGTATGCAAGACATGGGTTTCAGCATTCCTTGTGTCAAGCCACTCTTGAACAAGACACAGCGTGAGAAGCGTCTCGCCTGGGCTGAAGACAAAAAGGACTGGACTGCTGCTGAGTGGTCCAAAGTTATGTTCTCTGATGAAAGTAAATTTTTCTTTTTTTCCTCTAGAAATCAAGGTCGCAGAGTCTGGAGGAAGAGAGGAGAGGCACAGAATCCACGTTGCTTTAAGTCCAGTCCAAAGTTTCCACAGTCAGTGATGGTTTGGGGCGCCATGTCATCTGCTGGTGTTGGTCCACTGTGTTTTCTGAGGTCCAAGGTCAACGCAGCCGTCTACCAGGAAGTTTTAAAGCACTTCATGCTTCCTGCTGCTGACCAACTTTATGGAGATGCAGATTTCATTTTCCAACAGGACTTGGCACCTGCACACAGTGCCAAAGCTACCAGTACCTGGTTTAAGGACCATGGTATCCCTGTTCTTAATTGCCAGCAAACTCGCCTGACCTTAACCTATAGAAAATCTATGGGGTATTGTGAAGAGGAAGATGCGATACGCCAGACCCAACAATGCAGAAGAGCTGAAGGCTACTATCAGAGCAACCTGGGCTCTCATAACACCTGAGCAGTGCCACAAACTGATGGACTCCATGCCACGCCGCATTGCTGCAGTAATTCAGGCAAAAGGAGCCCCAACTAAGTATTGAGTGCTGTACATGCTCATACTTTTCATGTTCATACTTTTCAGTTGGCCAACATTTCTAAAAATCCTTTTTTTGTATTGGTCTTAAGTAATATTCTAATTTTCGTAGATACTGATTTTGGGATTTTCATTAGTTGTCAGTTTTAATCATCACAGTTAAATGAAATAAATATTTGAAATATATCAGTCTGTGTGTAATGAATGAATATAATATCCAAGTTCCACTTTTTGAATGGAATTACTAAATAAATCAACTTTTTGATGATATTCTAATTATATGTCCAGCACCTGTACAGGACTACTGACTCCCAGCCGTTAGAAAGAACCAGCTCCGATGTGTTGCACACAGTATCAGTTAAATACAGTTTTGCAGTTAATTACAAAAAATATTATGAGAATAAATGAGGACTAGCAATACAAAGCATTTCAATTCAAAGCATTTCAGGTGTTGGATGTAAATGACAAAGGTAAATATAATGATGTTCCTCAGTTTATAATATCTAAAAAGATAATAAGGCTTGCCATTTTTAGCTGCTTAGTGGTTTAGCATCTTCACATGCAAGCACAGAAGTGAACAGGTCTCGTTTCCCCATGTATGACAACATACACTGAACAAAATTATAAACACAACACTTTTGTTTTTGCCCCCATTCATCATAAGCTGAACTCAAATATCTAAGACTTTCTCTATGCACACAAAAGGCCTATTTCTCTCAAATATTGTTCACACATCTGCCAAAATCTGTTAGTGAGCACTTCTCCTTTGCAGAGATAATCCATCCACCTCACAGATGTGGCATATCAAGCTACTGATCAGACAGCATGGGTATTGCACAGGTTTGCCTTAGGCTGGCCACAATAAAAGGCCTCCCTCCGTCCCTACAAGTCCACCCAGACTATTCTCCCATCATGTCCGTGGCTTCAGATGGCAGAGGTGTCACAGTTCGAACACAAGGCTCTGTGTCTAGGGGAGGCACTGTGTTGGACTAACTAGTTCATTAGGGTAAGATGGGGGAGAGGGGGCCGGGTTCAGACAGGCAGCTCACCGGTCTCACACAAAAATACCCCACACACCCCTTGAACAAAAACAATACTGTCTCACATAGGCAATTATGCTGGCACATCCGGGCCCAATATAAAATATTACACAATCCTCTTTTTTCCTGCAAAGGTAGGAAAGGTTTAGACTACTACAACAACAAAGGCTAACAAGGGACAATGCTGTTAATGAATCTACAGAGCTCAATCACGACACTGAAAACACTTAAAGCAATTCTTGTCGTAATCATGAGCATCAGCCGATAGTGTGATTGCGTGTTCATGTCACAGAGAGAGTGTTGGGGAGAGGGGTGTTGCTCCCTAGACAGATTAGGGGGTCGGGCCAGCGTTCATATTTTGTCTAGTAGTGTTGTCTGCTGGGGCTCATCCGATTACTGAGCCACTCTTAACACTCTCTAACACACACAATTTCTAAACAAAGGCATATACATTCAAGCACATACACAAGTAAACACTATGCAAATGTGAGGAGACAATTATATTCCCACCACCCACACACAGAAACACACACACATAAACACACATAAGCATGATGCACTGTCTTTCATTTCAGTTTCTGAACGCAACAGACACAAAGACACTCTAATCCTTACATAATCCCCTTCTGCTACCAAACACCAAACTCTGGTCATATCAACTCTCTCTCTCCCACACTTGACTGATCCAACCTACTTTAAATTGTTTCTTTCTTATTGGACCTAACTCATTCACATACAAAAACCTTGTGCAAGAACGTAACGTGCATTCAAACTAATATTGCATTCTCATTTGAAGTGCCTTAGGTTTGTATTTGTATAATTGTAATCTGCTTTATTTTAGCAGAGCCTGTATTTTTCAATGTACATACAGGACCTGCTAAGACTCAATAAATTTTAAAAACTTCTTCAATACGCCCATTTCTGAGTTAAGTCATTATCAACGCACCAACAGAGACATCTAGTGGTGAGCTCTGGGCCCTACAAGAAGGCAGGAGCACAAATAAAAAAAGACTCACAGGAAATATAATATAATAATATAACTTTTCATGCATCAGGGGAAGTCTTTTTTTTCCTGTCATAAGCCCAGTTATAGGCAGATGGGCTGGGAGAGCTTGTATTTGCTTATTTCTGTGCTTCTTCTTTCTTCCTTTACCAGTGTCGATCAAATGAACTGCATGAAATAAGAGCTGGAATTATTAGTCGGTTAATCAATTAGTCGATTGAAAAAAAAAATCAATTCAATCAAAAACACCTACCATCCTCTGGTTCCAGCCTCTCCAATGTGAGGATTTGCTGCTTTTCTCTGTTTTATATCATAGTAAACTGAATAACGTTGGGTTTTGAAGACATTTGAAGACGTCACCTTAAAAAATGTGATGGACATTTGTCACTCTATTGTGATATTTTATAGATCACACAATTAATACAGAACATACTGACAGATTAATCATTACTGAAAATAATCAGCCATCAATGCAAAGTACAGTTTCAGGATTCATATTAGGCCTCAATAGAAAAGATTAAGATTAAAAATTAACAGGATCGTGGTCTCCGGTATTTAAATCTTTTCTTTTCAATGTAAACAAGTGTTTGCTATTAATCTGACTCACCTAGTTTGTATGTCAGCACATACAGGATTGTCCAAGGGGTGCCAGGCACTGCCAGCAGCTTCCTCCACACCCTCCATGGCCTCATGGCGTCTGCTCCCTGCCCTCCCCTCCTGCTGCCATCTGCTTGCTGGCCCCTCAAACTCTCATCATCCAGCACAGGGGCCCCCCACACAAACAGAGCCACGCCCGCGTACACAAACGTCAGCAGCATAAACATCCAGCTCCATCCAGCCACGTCAATCACAGCCAGCAGCCCCCCTCCAGCAAACACAGATCCAGCTTTATAGCCCACGACCTGGGCTGTATTGCCAAGCCCCAGCTCCCCGCGACCTTTCAACAACCCCACCGCGGCCCCATCTACAGCAATATCTTGTACGGAGGCCAAGGTGTTCATGGCCAGCAGGGTTCCTGCTACTCCCCAGATATGTGCTTCCGGGGCCAAGGCAGCACTGGAGAGGCATGTCAGAGCCAGGCCAGAAACTGTGCCCACCAGCCAGCGACGCTTGGTGCCGACCCGGTCCACCAAAGGGGCCCAGAACACCTTGAGGACCCAGGGGAAGTAGAGGATCTTGGTGAAACCGATGCGGGTGAGGGAGTGACCAGCTCCACGCAGGAAGACAGGAAGCAAGGAAGACTGGAGACCATAGGGGATGCCCTGGACAAAGTAAAGCAGGCCAAGGAAGACCAGTTTATCATTCATGATCCAACCTCCAAAAGTGATCCTCAGACACTGCAGCGGTGCATCGGTCAGGTCATTGTCATTATCTTTGGTTGTGTTGGGATCACTTCAAATGGACTGACTGACCTGAAATGAAAAGACAGAGTGTGAGGTTCAGTTTAATTGGTGTTGAACGTATAATGTTGTTGTGGAAGACATGGGGAGGCTAAAGTCTTCCACAGCTCCTGCAAGCAGCCTTAAAAGGACGTGTCTCTACTGCTGTTTTACTGCCAGCTCAGTTATCAGTAACATTAATCTGGCTATGGTTAGCTCCTCAATGTCAAATGACTTAACACATAAACATGTTCAATATCACGCTGACCACATGTGTTTTCATCATTTAACTTGTATCAAAACACAGACGTGACTTTGGACTTATGGTATTTTGTTAACAGGTAAAGTTACAATAGTTAAGTTTGCTGCCAAACTGAATGACTAGCTACCGTTAGCTTGCTAACTTGCTGTCATGCTAATAAGCTTCTTTGTAAACGAACAGCTTTACAACACATTTGTATCGCATGTCAGTTTTGCTGCGATCAGAAAAACTGTTCCCAATCTATTATGAAGTAAATCTTAACACATACTGGGAAAGAAAGTTGGTTATCCTAGCCTTAGCCAACCGAAGAAGATGCTCCGCTTGTTTTATAGTTGGGGTACGTATGAGCAGTGAGGTTGCCAGGTTCTGTGACAGCAATCCCCCTTTTGCGGATGGCAAATCGAGACGGGGTCGTGTCTGTTTCGTTCTGTAAAAGCCACAGTGCCAGCTTTCTATCTACGCTCTTTAACTATTTGATACATTTCCACGCAGGAAAAATATATTTATGACCCAGCTGGCAACACTACATCCCCTAATCTCACTACAATAGCTGCATTTGAGGGGGCAGATCCTTTACTTCAGTAAAAGTACTGATACCACACTGTAAAAATACAACTTTACAAGTAAAAGTCCTGCTTTGAAAATATTACTTACATGAAATAATTTAAATATAATTAGGGAAAGATTATTGTAAAAACAAAAGTAAAAGTACTCACTTCACGAAAGTGGCCCATGTGACTTTGCTATACGTGTGTGTGTGAGTGTGTGTGTGTGTGTGTGTGTATAATATATCCATGCATCGTCAACCGCTTATTCTGCGTACAGGGTACAGAGCCAATCCCAGATGACATCGGGCGAAAGGCGGGGTACACCCTAGACACGTCACCAGTCCATCGCAGGGCCACACATAGACAAACAACCACTACACTCACATCCACACCTAAGGACAATTTTATCAAGGACTGCAACTAATGATTGTTTTCATTATAATCTGCTGATTGTTGACTTGATTTAATCAATTCATTGTTTGGCTTGTAAAAAATGATTAAACTGTGAGAATTACCTTCACAGTCACCCAGAGCCTAAAGAGACACATTCAAAATGCTTGTTTTGTCAAACCAACAATACAAAGCTCAATATCATTAATACATATATTGAAATTAATACAGTATAAAAAAGGTAAAGCAGCAAAATCCTCACATTTGTGAAGCTAGAACCATGAGTTGGTGAAAAATTACCTTATCAGTTTGCAATCATTGAGGACACTGATTAATCATTTCAGCTGTACATAAACGTGCATAAACGTTTTGACAGTTCAATTCAAAACATCACATTTTTTAAGCTTGTATGGTTTGTATGCAAAAATCTGAATTTGTAAAGTAACTAAAGCTATCAAATAATAGTGTAAAGAACAGACTCAAGTAAAGTACCTAAAAGTGTGTACTGGAGTAATGTACTTAGTAACTGTCCACTAATGTCTATCACCCATTCTGTTTGTGAGTCATCATTCGCTCTTTATTAATGTTTGCACATTAATGTGCCACTGCTGTGTTAATTGTCTTACATGATTTCTACATTATGGATCTGCCCAGGGCCAAAACGTGTGCATGTGCAAAGAACCAAAACCACTCAGATGGGCCTTCATACAATAAGCTTTTATTTGTAGGATGTCCAAGCTTCTTCAAGGGTAGGCCTACTGCTGCCTGAATATGATTGTTAAATTGTGTTCTGTATACATCTGTTAGCAGCTGCACTGACTTTAGCTTCTCTTTGAGCACCAGATATGAGAATCTATTGAGTGCAAAGCTAAGTCTGTCCCAGAGCATCAGGTCCACTAGCATACTGCTGCCAGATCTATACTGAAATAAGAGTTTTGGAATGTGTAGGAACAACTAAAACATCTGCTGAAGCAGTGCTGAGTCCATGTTATTTTCTAGATGTCATGAAAGTCACAAAGAAGCACAGTCTCCACAAAAGCATAGGGCACAATATGTGTCATGAGATTATAGGTGATTTTCCACAGCTGGATCTTCAGTTGTATGAGCCTTGGTCCCACTGATTGGCTATTAGTTTTCACCCCCACAGAGAGCGAGCAGAATCTTCTCATAGTCTCCTTCAGTGTCATCCTGAAAGAAAGAAAAAACATATGTATACCACAAAAAATCTGACATCTAGCATGGGTCTATTGTCATTATCAGTGATCAGATGTTTGCTCACCAGAATATCCTGGTAGAGTGTTTTGCCGTAGGTTTTCTTGTACTCATCCTTGATCCGTTTCATGTCAATTTCAGAGCGGCTCACCATGATGCGGGTCAGGATACTTTTGCGGGTACCTTTACCCTGATAGGCAGAAAAGAGGCAGTCAGGTAAGGCCATAGGCAGCAGGTATTGTATCTTGTATATGTTTGTTCTTTTTAATGCGTAGTAGCCTATACATACTGTACCTTCATTGCCAAGTAGAGCTTCTCAGCAAAGAACGCAGGCCTGCTTCCAGCACACTTCACTATAGTTATTTAAAGAAAAATCTCATGGTTAAATCAAGTCTGTGCATAAATCACTGGATGAATGAGCAGGTAATAAAGTTAGATTAGAGGTTTGCGCCTTTACCTACTGCTGTGAGACAATTTTCAATATCTCCCTTCATCTCCAGGTCGATAGCTTTAGCCATGTCCACTTTGCTGTACTTTGAGTACCTGTCAAATACTGAAAGGAGAAGAAGTAGTGTCAGAGCTGACAAGATGGGGGGAAAAAACAGATTTTACTGAACAGGACGGCGAGCCAACTAACCTTTACGGAGATGAGGGGCACTCCTGGAGGTGAGGATCTCAATGAAGGCGGAGGCATCTGTCCCCTTCCTCCCCTCACCAGCCTCGTACAGAGCCCTGGCATCGCTGTCAACCAGCTGCTCAGAAACTCCTTCAGTCCGACTGGCCTGTGAAAAAGACAAACAGAACAACAGAGCTGAACACAACTAGTCCTTAAAATGAGCAAGTAATTATTATACTGAATATTAATTTAGTCTGTACACAATTAGCAGTAGAAGGTGACCACGTACAATGTTATAAGACAGGAAGGGAGGACCTAGGTATTATACTTCAGTTTGATGTGTCACACTGTAGTGGAGTGTACTGCTGTGCAAGCCTGATTAATTGTGGAACTGAGAACTATACAACTAACTGTCATAGCCAGCATATCATACTGTGAATGGAGCAAAACAGAAAGGATATGATTAGAATCTTTGTTACTTATTTCTACATTGTGATTGTGAAACTTGAAATGTGATGTTATTGCTATATTTCTATTTTAATGCAGTCCTCATTTATAGTTGACTGTAGTGCTTGTACCATAAACATATGCCGGTGCATGAAAACTAAAAAAGTGGTAAAGGCAGAACAGAAATATTATATGAGTAAAATATAAGGTGAATGTGCTTTATATGTGCTTATCTGTCTTACAGATAGTGAAGCCAAGTATTATGCTTTAAAAGCAGAATAAGCACAAAGAAATAGGTTGTATATTGGATTAATTTACTTGCCAGACTGTTTGACAATATGCAACTTATTTTCAGGAAACCCAAATATAAAGCTATCAAAAGGTTCAATTGTTAACTTGTATTGTGTTAGCATGTGTGTATCAAGGGAGTTAGTTTGTTTAGTTTTTATAAATCACTGTCACTGTAGCAGCTACAGCACAACAGGGAGTTTTGTGTTGCCTCAGAACTTAATGCATCCTCGTGACTGAATAAGTGTCTGTGAAGGTGTCTTCAAAATCCTGTAACTAGTACACAATGAAACACACACATACCTTGCACAGTGCAAGGAGGGCAGCCCTGAAATCTCCTCCAGTGTCAGATTTGATGTCGTCCTCCAGCTCCTTCTTGTAGTCTTGGCAACAAAAATAAATAAATCACAACATAAACATCAAGGATATACAATGATGTTCTTCTCCCATATCCCAGACACTGTTGTTTTCCAGTGTCACATACTGTATCACTTCTATTTCCAAACACTAGCTTGCGGAAACTAAAGATTTTTTCTTAAAATGTGTTGGCACGCACCTTCCTTGTAAGCTTTCTTTATTTCCAGGATCTGTCTGTTGTTTCTGGAAGCCAGAATCTCTATCAGGGTGTCCTCGTCTGTGCCCAGACCCTAAGAAGAAGGATGGATACAATGATACAGAGAAAAGAAAAAAAACACTCCTTTTATCCCGCTGTTAAGAAAACAATACATGAATATGTGGAAGTGGGTGGATATCATTATGCACCAAAAGTAACATTTGCCTCGAATGTGTTCAAATGTGCTTGGTTTCTCATCACCAGAGTAATTTATACATTTATATTAGTGTTTCTTATTAAGGGAGACTGTTTGTATTTGGGTGGGGGAGGGGGCTATACTTGTGGGGTCCAACAGCTTTGTGGGGACCAAAATGCTGGATCCCACAAGTTTAAAGTTAAGATTTAGGTTAGGGTTATGGTAAGGGTTAAGGTTAGGCATCTAGTTGTGAATGTTAAGGTTAGGGTGAGGGGAGAGGGAATGCATTTTGTCAATGACCGCCCCCCACAAAGATAGTGACACGAGGGTGTGTCTTTGTGTGTGTGTGTGTGTGTGTGTGTGTGTGTGTGTGTGTGTGTGTGTGTGTGTCTACCTTCATAGCCTTTTTCAGCTGCTGGGCATCGTATTGGGCTGGTGTTTTAAGCAGAGCCAAAACCACATCCTCCAGATCTCCCTTCAGAGCGCTCTTCAGCGCTGGTTCCAGAGGCTACAAGTGAACAACTGATGAGTAAATATAGCATTTGAGAGCATGTCATTGCGGTGTGTAACTCTGCATGTAGAACAAAAACTTTCTAACTCTTACCTTGCCACTGGCCTGCTGGTACGCCGCTTTGATCTGCTGTCTTTGCTCGTTACTCCTTTTCACCAGAATTTCAATAATGGTGTTCTCATCCACACCTGTACAAAGAAAGTGTTAATTAAAATCATCATTTACATTATTCTGCATCTCTATAACAGAGACAAATGTATACTTAAATGTAGATTTCAGTTCTTATAGTATTGGTAACTTTGTATTTCAGTGTGAGGGTCCATACAAGGACAAGAGTGAGACCACGAGTAATTACACTGTTAGTAGTAGGCCTAATTGTGCATGATGGACAGCAGAGGGTGTTATAACAGCAAAAGCCAGCGTGTCAAGGTTCTAACAGAGCCACATTGCAAAGCCAAAACATGTTCACACACGCTCCAAAGTTACCCTGTGCGCATTTCAAGTTCACCTTTTGCCTTGATGGCCTTGTCCAAGACTGCTGCATCTCCACTGGGGCTGAAATTGAGCGCTGCGGTCACTGTCCCCTCGTTCTTTAGGAGCTGAGAGACACAACACAGATTATTGTGTGTTTGGTTATTATTAAAAACTATATAATAGTTCTGCTTAGTGATGTGCACAAGTTGGGCTGCAAAAGGGTTAAATAAAATCACAGTTTTTTCTCACCCTTACACATCCCCTGCATCTATCCGCCAGACATAAAAGAATATAATTGAGACATATGGTATTCGCCCTGCCCTCACAGTCTCTGCCCCTACTCCCCAATGCCTGCAAAGACCACAACAGTGGCTTTTAAAATGCCTGTTCACGCCTCAGATGGACTGAATTGAAGAATAATGGGAGAGTGGGCCAGCACAGACTGAAATCATGCAAGATTACCTTTTGCAACTTTCACTTTAAGAAACCAGTCTGGAGAGATTCTAAAGGGAGGGGTGCAAATTATTGCTTCTATGAGTCACACACACTCACAAGACTTATGGTCATCTTCCTCATTGCATATCATCTTTATAGTGCAGGTTCCCTTTCACTGTAAAACTTTTCTCATCTGTCTGCTCTGCCCACTCCTTATTCCTTCCTTCCCTCCTTCCACCTTTAAATTTCCCACTGGATCATTCTTTTACCTCACTACACTTCTCTCTCTCCCTTGCTCTGAACTCTGCCTGATAAAATTTTCCACCCTAGCATACCACAGGAAGCAAAAAAAAGAAAAAGGAAAAAACAGTGGTTGGCCTTAGCAACTGGAACAGAAACAGTTACATACTGAGTCATCGGGCATGCCCATATACACAGTCTGCTGCAAGAAGGCTTGGATGAAAGACATGGTGGGACTGCCGGAGTCTGTCTGTAGGGGGAGAGGACAGCGGGAGAGAAGCACTGATGTGATCCATGTATAGAAAGTAGTTTGCAAGTTGATGATCTTAAGATTAACTAAAACAAAGTCCACTAAACACAATGTAGATAGTATTCAAAGAAGAAATTATCACTCTTTTATTGATTCTACTAGAGTAAAGTTCGTAAAAAGTTCGTCTGGTAAACTTGTTAAGAAAGAAAGAAAAAAAAAACATCATCCACTCCTGGAGAGGACATGCATGTGCATATTTACAGTAGGTTTATGAAGTAGTTTTCAACAATGACAAGCATGTGGAGACTGCCTGGCCACACCCACGCTCAACTCAGGCTCTTTCAATGTGCTTTAATATTGATACTGAGTGACAACTTTGCTGCGTAATTACACCAGCACACACTTTACTTCACTTTGCGTGAAATGAGTAGGCCTATATCCCAAAATTTGTCGCGACTGTTTTCCCAACCACATCCGCATAGATTGCATCAATACCTTAAAGTAGAATGGACTTAAAACCTTCGCATCTCGTACCAAACTTCACCAAACACTCAAACCAAAAGTTGGAGAAGAGATCTGAGAATCTTCATCGAACGAAAATTACTTACCGTGCGGCCTTAGATGAAAGAAGTTTGTCTCTCTGGGGTTCCAGGGGCGTTGTAGCGACAGAGAGAATATATTTATACCCATGACAAACCCCACCTAGTAACTGGCCCTGCCCATGCTCCCCTCCACAGCTGCAATTGGACTGAACCGCTGTCTGCCTCAGCAGAGCGCAACGGAGCTCCATCCGAAACGCCTCGCCGTGCGTCATGCTGCTTACTTGAAAACATATGCTGCTTTCAGGTCGTAAGCTTTCATAAAAAGCGGATCTCTTGGAAAATCACTAACACATAGAATAGGCTAAATCTGGGTCTTACGGAGTAATGTGATGTCCCAATACATTTACATTTACTCATTTAGCTGACGTTTTTATCCAAAGTAACTTACAATTGCTGTTATGTCCAAGGTCGCAATGCAATATTTCTAACATATTCCAACAGAGGAATTTATTGTAATGTTTACTGTTTGCTGTCTGTTATTAACTTTTGAGATGAACTTGAGATTGTGTTGTTTCTTCAAATTTTAGATGTGAATTTTGCATTTAAAAGTTTCCTGCAAATGAATATTCATAATTTTGTGAACACTTTTAGTGCTAGTATTGCTCGATCACTCGGTATCTGTGGCCCATTTGCTTCTATTGATGTGTTTGGTAGAAGCTCAGTGCAAGTAAGCATAACTCTTATATAATGTAACAATTAATTTGTGTTCTGTTTAGGGCTCTGCATTGAAACATATACATGTTTTTTTTTCATGTGTTTCCACAGCTCCACAGATAATGTATTCACTGCTCGAATCCGGAGTGTCCCCAGCATAGGGAATAAATACATGTTATTGCTGTTTGCTAGAATAAAGAATGAAGTAGGAATCTCTCCATTTGACATTCCTGCTGTTATCTCTCCTCTTGCAGAAATGTTATCAGGAGGTTACATAATAGAAAACAAATGAATCCATGGCCCACTGCATATCGGTGCACCTCAGCATAACAATACCTGAAGGAATGACTGAGCACAGACAACCTTAACATTCCTCAAAGGAGTCTGCCTTTGGTCTGATGAGGCAATGAGTTTCTTCAAGGTGTGGCATGTTGTCATGACATCACGGCCAGGACCTGACGCTACCTGCTGTCTACGTGCCTCAGCCAGGATAATGACTGATGACAGCATCATTCGAGCCTAGTCATACTTTTTCATCACACTAAACAATCATGTAAACATTTCCTTCACAGAAGAAAATTTTGTCCAGACCTTTTCCTGTTGTGACCAGTGCATTTGTGTTGGATAGATGGAATCTTATTTGCCAAATTGGACCGAAGTCTCTAATCTTTAATTTGACATAGTAACACCGTGTACATCCATAGTGAAATATGGTGAGCACAGGGTTTGAATTGTGAAAAAGGAAGGAGGGGCTAAAGCTGTATTTTCATTAAAGTGGCATCATGGGTGGATTTATCTCTAAGCAAGGTGTGTTAAACAGATGGTCAAGCTGTGATCCAAATGTTCCAAATGAGTCTCTTGATCTAAAAAAGAAAAGAAAAGCCTCATAGAAGAGCATGACCATAAGATTATATTCCACATTTACTTCTTTCAGAGGTAAATGGACACAGTACTTTAGCAAATATATAAAAACTGAAACATCTGATGTTTTGTCTTCATCACAACAAATCTGCATAAACATATGCTAAATTTCTGATAGTCCTCTGTGGAGTTCACCTGGATGTAGGTGTCTTATTTATTCCCTTGACCCTAACAATTGAGGAAAGTGTGGGGTCTCCGGGAAAACAAACAGAAACAGTGAAGTGAGTAAAGTGTGTATGAACTGTGTGTCTCTCTGTGTGTGAGAGAGCATCCAGTTACAATCTCTATCTTACACACAGGAAACCTGAGGACTGTTTCAGGCATCTTTTTATCTGCAGGCTCTGTGGGGTTTAAGCCAGTACCTGGTGAAACTCCATATCTGCAGGTTTAATATTTAAAGACTGTTGAGAGTTTGGTTCCCCTAAGAGATCCTGCATAGCAGCACACAGACACTAACTTCACTGAATCAAACTGAAGGGATCTGATCTGCTCCCAGACCAGGTACTGCTTTTATCACCAAGCCTTTTTCATTATTTTTTTCAGTTTGTCATGTTTTCTACTCTCTTGAAAGTTAATGTGTTTTCTGATTAATTCATGTGAATATTTTGGATTGTATACATCAGTTTCATGCTAGTGTAGCTCATTTTGCTATTCATAAATTTCAATTTTGGTCAATTCAAATCACTTTATTTAGTAAAAATGACTGGCATTGTGCCAATTCCTGCTGAGTGAGGTGTAAGATTTGTTCCTATATCACTGTGAAATTGAAAAAGAAATAGCCACAAACTTTGGGATTTTCAGTTTTTCCTGTTGAGAAGCTTGTAGCTCATAGTAGCTCAGAGAGGCTGACAAACGGATTACACTCCCTGAGTGAACCTGCTGCGTCAGCTTTTTGACATCTGCTAATAGTTGAGGGTTGAACAAGAGTTTATAATGAGGATTAAAATATTTTGGGATTGTGAGTTGCATTTGAATTCAGACTTTTCATCTTTATAGGATCTTTGTGGTTTTAAAATGACTTAAATTTACCCTTTTCTCTGCAGAGCTTGGACTGAACCAGTTGCATCTGCTCACCTGTAAAAACCAAACACAAGCCAACACCCAGTTATATATAAATGTATGTGAATTCTTCTGGAGCTGAACATGGATCTTATTCTCTGACCTTCCTGGGAAAGAAAGTAGGGAGACACCACTCTGTGGCCCCTGCAGGCAAGCAACGTGAGTGTAAAATACATCAACCGCTAATAAGCACCTGTACAGTTGCTGTGGGTTATGTTCATCTGCACAGTGATTATGGCATCCTCCTGAAGCTGTTCTGAGTGATAAGTGTGTTAAAGGCAGACTGGGGGAGTTAGACGAGGTATGAATATTTCAACTGCTTCACTGCCTCCATTGTGAATACGTGGGGCAGTCAGCTTATCAAAACAAAAATGGCACCTTGTTCGTGCCGGGGTCTGGCTGGAGATCTGGATGGACCACTAGAACCAGACCTGCAAGCCCACATAGACCAGCTTATCTTTACTGTCAGTAGAGCAACACAGCTCGTGTCACAAGCTGCTGCAGAAATGGATGCCAAAACATTTTGTGTGTTATGTGCGCGTGTGTGTGTGTGTGTGTGTGCATGCGTGTGTGTGTGTGTGGTTTAACATATGTGCATGTGTATCCACATGGCCTGCATAAGAGATGTAAAGCTCCACCATCTTGTGTCCAGATGTTTTCATTACCTGAAAGCTATCTGCTATCCTGCTGCAGCTTCTGTTTTAGCATTTCGTCTTAACTGTACTCCATGCATCTTTATGTTTGGAATCCGAGAGTAAACCCTGTCCTTCATTTCCTTGTATGTCTGTACGGTGGATCTGAATTTGCTTGTCCCATGATGCACCATGTAAAATCTTTCTTAGGCGCATGGGAGACAACTAACAGGTCTACCTGCCCTGAGGACCCCACGGGGTCCTTCAGACCTGGACAGGTCCCAGTGGCAGCGCAGGTGCTGGAGGATTTACCAGGCAGCGTACCAGAGCTGACGGAAGAGAGGCCAATAATTCACAACACACAGTTTGACCAGTACAATGAAAGCACAGCAGGTAAGACCAGTAGACCCCCCACACATGCACATGCAATCACGGAAGTGTTTTACTTTACACATTTCTTGCACAAGATATGTAATAAAACAATTCTTAGAATTCGATCCATCAAAACTTGCATGTGATGCCCTAACCAAATGGAAACCAAACACTCTTACACTGATAATAGTTTAAAGTCTGCTTTGTTTTGAGTCATCTGACTTTGTGTTCTCACTCAGTAGATAAACCGAGGGTTTTTCTCTGTTTTTTCTGACATAATTTCTGTTTCTCTACAAAAAGGTGTGTCTGGGAGGAAAGTAACCGCATGACGACACACCCACATTCCTGTATGAGGAAACAAAGAGGGGAGAGGGTGGGAAGGGAATGAACGAGATAGAGAGTGATGAAATATTCCACACTGATGGATTAACTTGAAAATGAAAATAAATAGGAACTAACTGCCTAATTAATTAGCACATTAATACAATTATTGAAATAATCAACATTTTGAGTGTAATATCCATAAATGTAAAGAGACAATAAACTGCATGCTAAGCACTCATCCTAAATATGTAAAACGTGTTCTAAATCTAATCAATAAAATGTAAATGGTTCCACTGAGATTTATGTGTTTCATTTTATTTTAAGACTGCATCCACAAGTAATGAAATGATAATTGTACATAAACAAGTACACCACACAGATAATTATTTTGATTGGAAAAACTGGCAAAGGGTTGAATGACAATATTTTGACTTTATTGTATGATTGTTTCATTTGGTATATCCAGTTTTGAGAGTGAGCGGTTAAAATCAGGATTTGAGCACAGTAAAACCCAATAAATGAGTTTGCCGTCCATCAGTACAGTATTATGATTGTGTAATTGCAGTTCTGTTACTGTAAATGACTGAAACAGTTTTTCTCAGAGGAGTTTTTTAAACTGAAGATGAATCATGAAAGATGAACATAACTAAATAATTGGGCGATAGAAGAATATGTATTACAAGACTTGTTGCTGCACTTACTCTTCTCCTCTTTCCCATACCTGTTACTCCACTCCCCGAGCTGTTTCCAAATGTTCCCCAACATTTGTTCCGTTGTTCAAGCTGTCATTCATCACAAAACTCTGTGGATGAAGAGGTGGGCTGCTTTCAGACGCTGGATCGGTGCGGATCGCAGAAAGAACCCTGGACAAGAGGTCAACCAAGGTGCTGTACAGTGATGAAGAAACATGTGGAGGAGGAGGGGTGATAGTGTGTGTGTGTGTGTGCG